ATTTGTTGTTTATGAATTTATAGAATAGACCTGGTTCTGTTTTACATTTGTCCGCAATCCCTTTTTCAAAATTTCTTTCTGCCTCTCTCCTCACTGCCGTGTAGTTGTTTCTCGCATCTTTGTATCGCTGGTATGTTTGGGGGTTCGGCCTCTTCCTGTATTGATTCCATTTTTGTGTCTTTCGGTCTCTAGCCCTCTCGCAATTTCTATTGAACCAATCCTGTTTCCTAGTTCTGCATCTCTGTTTTGGTATAAATTTTTTTGTGCCTTTATCATATATTTCACAAAACTTGCCATACATCTCATTCACTTCCTTGCCTAGCATCAAGTCTGTCCAATTATACTCACTAAAAAAATTTCTAAGGTCACCATAATGTCCTCTCCTGAAGTCTGGTTTTTCAACTGCTTCAACCTCCTTATTTTCTTCCAGCTTATAACGCATTGCATACTTTATTCCCAAAAAGACATGGTCACTTTTACCCAAGGGAGGAAGGTACTGAATGTCAAATATCCTTCTCCTCCTCCTAGTGTGTGTCTGTCTGTGCAAAGTTGGAGGCCAGACGCTTGGGGGGTGGGGTGAGCCCCGCCCCAATTGGCAGAGGAAATAGTCTGGGTTATAAGATGAACTTAGGTGGGTCAGGGTCACTTTCAGCCCCACTTGACGATTTTTGGCACTGCACACTGGTTACACAGCTAAATGTTTTCAAACCAAATTTCAAAAACTATTTTTTATTCTTTCAGTAATATGCATCATTTTTCACTGATCTTGGGAAAATTATTTGAAATCTCCTGTTTTCCATAATTTGCGTGTTATCGCATTAAATGGACAATCGAGCCACTACTTCTTGACGTAAGTGGGGAGACTATTCTATTTTTAATATTTCACATTGCTAAGCTCCTCCCACTGGCAACCACCACACAACAATGGTACAAAATTATATTTATTTATTTTTTCTTTTTTTATGAGGAAGAGAGTGAGAGAGAGAGACATTCGGAGAAAGAAACAGATACACACAATGTATCGCTTTCCAACTTCAGACTTGCTTTTAATTATATGGATGGTGAAATACTAAAGAAAATGTTCATGAATTTTGTGAGACCAAAATTTGGATTATGCAGCAGTTGTATGGTGCCCAAATCTTAAGAAGTGCACAAATTAACTGGAAAAGATGCACAGGCATGCCACAAATTGGCTTCCGGAACTGAAAAACAAGAGTTACGAGGAGAGGTTAGAGGCATTAAACATGCCAAAACTAGAAGATAGAAGAAAAAGAGGTGATATGATCACTATATACTAAATGCTAACAAGAATCTAACAAATTGACAAATTCCTGAAGCCAGTAACATCACGAACAAGAGGACACAAATTCAAGCTAAGGAAACAGAGATGTCAAAAAAACATTAAACTGTTCTCTTTTGCAAACCGAGTGGTACATGGTTGGAGCAAGCTAAGTGAGAAGGTGGTGGAGGCCAAAACTGTCAGTAGTTTCAAAGCATTATACGACAGAGTACTGGGAAGACTGGACACCACGAGCGTAACTCTCATCCTGTAACTACACACAGATAATTACACACAGGGACAGAGATGGTTAGGTGGTTGGATGGATGACCTTTATCTTGCCTTGCGATGATTTTGGGATTCAACGTCCCCACAGCCCAGTCCTCGACCAGGCCTCCTCGTTGCTGGACAGGTCAACGAGGCTGTTGGATGTGGCTGCTCGCAGCCTGACATATGAATCACAGCCTGGTTGATCAGGTATCCTTTGGAGGTGTTGTTTATCAAGTTCTCTCTTGAACACTGCAAGGGATCGGCCAGTTATGCCCTTTGTGTAGTGGAAGTGTGTTGAACAGTCTTGGGCCTCTCATGTTGATAGAGTTCTCTCAGAGTACCTATTGCACCTGTTTTTCAGTGGAGGTATTCTGCACATCCTGCCATGCCTTCTGGTCTCATATGGTGTTATTTCTGAGTGCAGCCCCTCTAATATTTTCCACTTGTAAATTATTATGTAACATGCAGATATGTTTACCTAAGAAAATATCACAAACTTCTAAATAGAGGTAAATACTCAAAACCTCTATTTAGAAGTGTGATTTTTTTATGATTTTGTATGATTTATGGGAATACTTACTGGGGTGAAATATCTAAATATATTACTAAATTGAAAGCAATGCCATGAAACACATTGTACATTCCATAACAAAGGAACAAGACCATGCAGACTCCAGGCAAGCTTTTATCATCCATCGAGTTTAATATTGGGAATGTAAAATGGATATGCAGTACTGTATATATTATAGAGGAGTATTGCTGACTAAATAAATATTGCAAATTAAATGCAATGTCATTCATTGATAACTGGGAACACACAGCTTACAAGGAATGAAGGCTTTCTATGTATAGGATGGTTTTCACTTGTATAAGGTTGGGGTTGTTGCTTTTGCCAGTTTGTTGAAATCTGTGGTTGAAGGGATTTGGAGGAGCTGGAGAACCGTGCGAGAAGGTTCATCTCTAGTCTTGACCAAGTCTGGTTGGACTGGCCTGGACATCAGAGCCATTGGTAGACTTGCTGTTATGTACAAGGCCAATATTTTCAAAGTTCTGCACCTAGCCCAACTTCATGGACAACCAGTTGTTAGCACCCGTAGGCTGCCTCGGCTCTCGGCCATCAACAGGCTCATGCAAGTGGTGCCTTTTCAAAAACAACATTCCATCAGCACTTACTCCTAGGCTGACTCACATCTGGAACATGTTCAGCAAAAAAGGTTGATATGTGGAATATAAAGTCAACCGATCACATGAAAGCTTGGCATACAGTTGACTCCTCGCTCATCTTGTTTCATGTATGAGAGCCACCTGTGTTCGGACCAAGTCCAGCGGTCGACCCCAAAGACTCATTCGTAAATTTTAACATGCTGTTCATTCAAAACAGGAATTTTCTCAAATATAAATGAATATTTTTTTATATTACCATATTGTATATATTTAGGCATTGGTTAAGTTAGCTTTGGATGTTTAGGTCCTATTGGCATTTATTTGTATTTGTAGTATGTGGGGTGAAGCATTTACAGCGCTGTGGTTCGAAAAAATTTATCAGTGAAGCACTTGTTCCAGAAGTGTTCGAACGTCATCACTCGAGTCGTGTGTGAATCATTTTTCTTTCATAAACAGGGGGTTTGGCGGGTACATGGAATGGACTTTGGGTCTTTGTTTAGAGGATGATGATAGTCACTTAGCATTAAAGCTAATTTTATCCTAATAGAACAAATAATCATCTCATGAATTCAATGAGTCTAGGGGACAGGCTTCAGATGAGCTCTTGTAGATAACTGTTCTTGCTTGTAGTTTCATTAGGAACCTCAATGATATTGGATTTGGGGAAAAAGGATGCAATGAAGGTGGGTTGGTAGGGAAATTTTTTGGATAAATATAACAGGTAGAGATGGGCCTTTCCGTAATAAACTCTTAAATGGCTATTGCAGATTGCCTTTCTGTTAGAAGGAACAATATCTATATCATATTTAGAATAATGTTGATTCAGTAAGTTAACTAATATAAATATACCCATTAATTTTAGTTAAGCGAGTTTGAATGTAAGGCTTTATGGTCCCGGTGTATAAATTATGGGAATATTTACTGGGGTGAAACCCTTTACCTCGGATGTTAAGCAATTTATACATGAAGTTTCTCAACTGATTTTATATAGTATCTTAAAGACTGATAATTGTAAGTAGATGTGGTGGTGTTTTTTGCATTGGGGCAGATTCTCAAGCCCCTAAAGATCGTTAGACTCTGTAACTAGGTTCCTTCCATTAAATTCACTCTTGAAAGAGAGCATTGGGAATGGAGCCCTACTGTTTTTAGAATACAATGATTTATAGAAAATGTAATTTTAAAGTTAAATGTTTATAGGAAGTCTAGTAATGCATGTACATATGTACAATTTTATTCAAATCATTACATTAGAGTTAAGGTCATTACATTAGGGCTTTTCATGTCTGTGGTCTTAAGTTTATTGATGACAAAATGTTGAAAATCTGTGATTATCTCTAGGTTACAAGATCCCATATATGTTAGATACAGCTCTTAAGTCGCTTAGAAAAACATTTATAATTTATGAACTTACCCTGGATTTTAGTATAGTGTGGTTTTCAAAATGTGAGTACTATTAAAAACGTCAATTAAGGTGTTGCCCAACTCGAGTAGTGGAGGTGATGGATGTGTGTCAGAATGGGCGAGTTCTTAGTTTTATCATGAGGTGAGGGTCTCTCCTACCCACCAGCCACCACCTAAACTCCCACACCAGCCTACCCTGTATCCCCAATTCGTCCATCACCCCTTACCCATCCTGCCAATTTGTTTCTTCTCAAACCTACCCTCACAGTCCAGTGAGAGGGAATAATTGACTTTTTAACGATACAGCATTTAGCATGGTTTACATGCAATGGATAGTTTTTTTTTATGAATGCAGTGTTACATTTACATATAAATTAAAATTGATAATTAATTCTTTGTACTAAATATAATTATGATATTAATTCTTAAAAAATACCTTAACATTTTCTGGCATATCTAGCAATGCGTGTGTAGTATAGCACATTGTAGGTACTGTACCAGCTATTTGCAGAAAACACCCATTTCCACACCAAAGAAAAAAAAATTGGAGTATACTGTAATTTCCTTTGTCTCTGATACTGAATTCATAGTGCTAAGAATTCTTTAAGCAAGCTGTGACTTTGGATATTTTAATAAATAACTTGTGAAGACGTTTAGAAAAAAAATGACTGGCTGAGGAAGAAATTATACTAACCACTTAAGGTTAGTACTAGGAAAACCTTGAAACTGAGAGAGTTGAGGCAGGAGAGGATGGGCAGGCAGGATATGAACTTAATGAGCATTGCCTAACCCATAGTCATGGCTCTACAGTGCATAACTCTAGATGCTGAGAAAAATATAGCTGATTTTGCGACCATCTATAGCAGCCTTTTTGTTTTCCCCGTAGGTGGCGGACTTGGAGAGGAAGTACAAGTGCGCGTGGTGCGGGAAGGGCTTTAGACTCTCCGTCCATCTGAAGGATCATGTAAGGACCCATACAGGGGAGAAGCCCTATCAATGCCCTATATGTCAGAAGGATTTCACTCAACGGTCTAATCTGAGGACTCATCTCAACAAAATACACAAAGAACAGTTGGCATATGTAAAGAACAGAAAAGGCCGAGTGCCAAAATATCCTGTGAAACACGAATTTTTACCCAGCCTAGTGTCTCCCAGTGGTGGTGGTGGTGGTGGTGGTGGTCTTTCTCATGCCTCTGTTGCAGAAATGAAAAAGCTAGTGTTTGCTCCTAGTGATCCAAAACCTATCCTTCCCAAGCCTCTTGGCAGTGAGCCTTCTGTAATGCCTTTCCTCTCCAAAGAAACGGTCAATTTTTTACAAAGGGATGATTTAACTGTTCTTTATAAGGACAAAGCAACATGTTTAGAACATGAAAGAAGGGTGTCATTACCACAGTTGATACTGCAGCAACCATACCATGACGATCAGCCGTTTTTTGCTGGAGAGCCTCAGATTTTTCCTATTGATCCAAATGTTGTAGATTTAGATGCAAGTATGTCTGTAAGGAAAGAACCTGTTGCACAACCAATCCTAACTAAGGAAACTGCTCTTAAGTCTCCTCAAAAAGAGACACTTTTGAAAGCTTTGCTCTTAAAGGGCTCCTCATTGGGGACAGCTCCACAAAGTGATGTTTCTGGAGTTATGAGACAAGGGATCCCATCTACTTTAGCTTCTCCTCTTACTCATACAGCATTGTCTGCTGGCCAAATGCCATATTCTATTCCCAGTTCTGTAGCAGTTTCTCTTGCATCTCCTGTATGTAGTCCTCCAGAGGAAATACTTCAACCGATACTTGTTATGGATTCTTCCAAAGGTTTATCGTCTGTTTTGCGGTGCCCACGTGATGTAGCAGTTTCTCGTGGCGACCTTCTTTCTCCTGGGAGCAAAGGCGAATCATTTGTCGTTATAGAAGCTTCTGGAGTGGCACCACAAGAGTCTGTATCTGCACCAATAGATTCTCAAGATCAGCCTCAAATAACTGATGAAATGAAGATTTTACTTCAAGCAGTTCAGATTAGAGTTTCTCAGGATCAAGGGCAGACAAACATGCAAAGCAGTTCTACTGTTACAGTGAGAGCAAGCAATCCTTCCCCACTGATAACAACCACATCTGGTCCAGTTGTGAGTCATACACTTGCTGTACCAACTCCGTCTGGCCCTCCACTGGCCTCAGATACTGCACTTCGACAGCGCATTTCTCGAATGTTGCACGATAAAGATCCAACTAAGAAGAAAAATCCCAGTCAATGTGCTTCAGTTAAAAAAACAGACCATAGTTTTGATCATCCACCCAAGCCTAGTTTAAAGGAGCAAGAAGTAGCATCAGTACAGAATAAAACACCGGAAAAAGGAAGGCCTATTCCATTCCTACGGCAGCTGCCTTCATCACACATACCCACTTCTCATCCTCCTAGACCCCCTACGCCACCACTTTCTTCTTCACCTCCGCAACACCTTCCACTTTCCCCATCATCTCCTTGTGCTCATTCCATACCCACTTCATCAATCATTCCTCCGGTATCCATTTCTACTACATCTTCGACCGAAAGACGACGACTCGGTTTTCAAATACCCTCAAACAGAGCAACCTATAAGCCTAATGACAAACTTGCTGAAAAATTCAACCTTAGGTCGAAAGGAGGTCTTAGTGAAAATGAATCAGTGCCTGACCTTAAGTAGGTAATCCTGAAAAAAAGTGATAGTTTGATAATGTATATATTATCTTGTGCAAATTCAAGTGATACAGCTTAGTCCTATAATTGTCTCCTATATGAAAATGCAGATCTTTTAGGTTTCTCGTGCCTTTCTTCATCTTTGTCATTGTCATGTAATGTACTATACAAAGTGTAAATCTTCACTCTTCTCAAGCAACTGTTTCGATATATGCCTTCTTGTTTGTGTGGGCATTTTATGATATATATTTATATGTATATGTGTGTATAATGCATATGCAGTGCTACCTAGTTCGAACAGATCATGATGGACTGGAACTCGATGTGCTGAAAAGATTAACTAACACATAGGTTTATCATGGCTAAAAAATCCTGTTTTTTCATATTTTTTCCGTGAACTGAAATATGGTATTTTGCTCCACCAAGGAGTCTTGGTAGATTGGTTTATCATGGCTAAAAAAATCCTGTTTTTCATATTTTTTTCAGTTTTACTATTCTCATGCTTTTAGTAGTAAATACTAATAAAGAAACTATTACATTTTTTTCAAGCTCTTTCTTAAATATTTAATTAAAATTGTGTCACAGTTTGACTATTTTTTGTCTAAGGTGGGTGTAGTCCTATTGTAACTAGATGTATCCGGGCCTGGTGCTTTTTTCCTCGGTGTTCATGGGGCAGGACCTCTTGTTCTTTGGCTGCTTCTTTGCCAGTGAAAAGGATATCTACCAACTGTAGAAGTTAGGCTAAACAGGAAGGGAAATGAAAAGGGATCTTAATGTGGGAAAAATAGGCTGACTTGATTAACGGAAGTGAACACGCCTGCAGTGTGCCAGGTGAGAGGGAACTAGCGGTAATGGGTCGACAATGCCGATAATTGCTAAATAAGGTCGATAATTGCTATTGACAAGGTCGATAATTGCTAAATAAATCAAAGTACAGTATAGTGTTCAGTAGTTTATGTAGCAGCATAGTGTGGCAGTTTTACACTGCATGCATTTTATATTTAATGTCGGTATAATGGTACTGTTCTGTTGACACACGTTCCTGGTAAAGAGATTATCAAGGAAAAATAAGCTCTACTCGCCAAGGTAAGTTAATAGTTTTGGCCTCGTTGTTTCACTTCTTACCATGGAATCATATAAAATTCATTTTTTATAAATTGGGTATAATTTTATTGACTGTTTTGTCAATGACTACAAACTACCGATTGATATCTGGGCAACTGACCAAAAAAAAAAGCATGATTTTTAACAATGCTAAATTCCAGATAGAGTACTTTAATATGGTAAAAATTCTGAACGTGACTGGATTACAGGGTGCACAAGATGCAGTCAGATCTTAGCAAAGGAAAAGGATGTGTGAAAGACTTGAGAATAATGACACGAGATGACCTAATGTTTAATGAGCATTACAGAGCAAACATCAACCAGGAAAATAATACAGTAGATTATGAGAACCTTCAAATCCACCACAGTGCTACTATTCTTCATATCACTTGTGCCTTCCCACTTTGACTACTGCTCAGTACTCGCTTGCTCTTTCAAATTTAAATGAAGGGAATTCAGAAAACATATACAGCATGCAAAGACAGGATAAAGCACCTGAATTATTCAAACTGTCTTTAACACTCAAAATGGAGATGAAAGAATCGCTAAATATTTATGGGAGATGCTCGAAGACCAGATCCCAAACAAAATGATAACCTACTAAAGCTAAGAATATGGGACGATACGCAAAATAGACCTAGTGAATTCAGAGTAGAGATGCCATGGGCACAAATGGGGAGCATTGTATGAACTTAAGAGGTCCGTGGTTCTTTAGCATCCTTCCACCAAATGCAGTATAAGAAATATTATTGGAATACAAGTAGAGGAGATTAAGAGAAATGATTGAGCTAAAGCTACAAGAAACAAAAAATCCAGGATAGGCAAACAGAGGAAAAGACCATCAGTGAAATAGATACAAAATACTTTTTCTCCTATGCAAAATCGTAAACAAAAACTACATTTAATATTGGGCCCCTATGCAAGGGAGATGAAACTCTCACAAATGATGACAAAGAACTTAGGAAAATACTGAGGTCACAGTACAATTCTGTTTTCAGTGAACCCCTAAACATGCTGAAGATTGATAACGCAAATGAATCCTTCATGAATGTGATACCAACATCAAATTGTATATCAGACATCACACTAACCACACTGGATTTTGAAGTTGCCATAGCCAGAATGCCTATGCATTCAGCACTATCCCATGATTTCTGGAATTCCATATTCATCAAGAATTGTAAAAACCACTATCACAGGCCCTTAATATTTTTGGAGATGGAGCTTAGATACTGATGTTTTCCCTGACATACTTACAATAGCAGAGACAAAAAATTATAGATCAATAGCACTAATATCAGACATAATAAAAATCTTTGAAAGAGTGCTAAGTAAGATAACAATAAACATGGAATCACATCATCTACACAACCCTGGAAAACCTGGGTTCAGAAGAGGGCACTCCTGCCTCTCTGATTTGCTGGATCTCTTATGACATGGCCTTAGCTGCCATGAAACACGGAACCCAGTGTGTAACGGTCAACAACGGAAAGTGTGGATCATCCACCTTGAAAAGCTCGGTCCCCCAGGGTACTGTGCTTGCTCCAGCACTTATTCTTATTCTCATATCAAAGATAAGGATGCACGCTATAGTACTGTATCATCCTTTGCAGATGACACCAGGTTTTCTATGATAGTAGACAATATAAAGGACACCAGGTCTTTCAGTGGGCCACATATGATGATAATATGATTAACTGCTGTACTGCACCACCTATTATATCATAGGGAATGGGAGTTGTGCCACCCTACATATCATATTTTTAGTATATTGTAAGATTCAAAACTTGTGTGGGGTACATTGGGCTCACATTCTGTTCCTCAGGACTCCAGTAAATAGATGCCATATTGAAAAAGAATATCTGAAGTCCCTCACTTTCCTTTCAGGGCCTTAGTAGGAAGATGAGGACCATGTCTGGCACATCACCATCCAGTGTCTGAATGTGCTGGGCGGCCATACTAAATCATTGAATTTTTAACAGCAGTAAATAAGTGATTACCACATATATACAGACAAAGTGTGTGCTATGTGAAGTTATATGTATTTATAATCCTAAATCTTATATGTTATGTATATTAGTATGAATAAATACATAATGTGCATATATCTATACACATGTATCTGTACATATGTATCACTAAGAACACTATTGACTTGACCACAATTCAAAACCCCTAATGCCCAGGATCACCCCTTGGCTTACAGAATTCATCATGATAACCACTAGACCAATGATTTCAAAGTTACACGTAATGAACACTAACACAGCAATACATGTTAGGACGAAGAAAGTAAAATAAGGTGAGAAACCATGAAAATAGACAATGTTATTCCCATGTGGCGCCTCTCCATTTTTTTGTTTTTTACCGAAAAATGCAACTTCTCTGGGGCCACTACAGCTAAATCATAAGAGATATTTTTACTTAAATGTGTGTGCTTCCTAGGTGCTAATTAACAATGTCAAATGAAAAAATAACTTTCAGACATTTTTTCAGCACACCACAGGACTCAAATTTAACCCCTGTGCAGTGCAGGGGTTCATGAAGTTTCAGCTTCTGCACTATGGAAAAATGGAATTATGCAGATGGAAACCACATATAAAATGGAGTCAAATCACACTATAGAATGGAAAAGGAATGTGAAGATCTGGAAGTAATCATGTCGGAAAACCTTTTGAAGAACAAGCCAAAGTAGCTGTCACGTCTACAAGAAAAACAACAGGTTGGATAACGAGAGATACCAACAATGATATTCTTAATGATACTAGTGCTCTCTTGGGACAATAGTGTCACACAATAACAGCCCCATTGAAAGCTGGAGAAATTGCTGACCTGGAGAACTTGCAGAGATCCTTTATTGCTAGACTTTACTCAATAAAATGTGTAAATTATTGGGACCAATGAAAATATTTAAATCTGTATTCTCCAGAGTGCAGGTGTGATTGATCCACAATAGTTTACACTTGGGAAAATATTAGAGGGACTAGTTACAAATCTGCACATGGAAATAACATCACATGAGACCAGGAGGCATGGCAGGATGTTCAAAATAGCTCCATTGAAAAGCAAAGATACAATAGGCACACTTGAGAGAGAACTCTTATCAACATGAAAGGCTCAAGACTTTTTAACATGATCCAGCTATATATAAGGGTCAAAACTGACCGACTTTTAATAGTGTCGAAAAGAGAACTCGACAAACGCCCCCAAAGATACCCGATCAACAAGTCTGTGATTCATGTCAGGCTTCATCTAACAGTCGGGTTAAAGACTGGGCCGCAGGGACATTTATCCTCGGAGCCATCACAAGGTAAGGAAGTGCTGGACTAACCAGGTTTCAATAGGTATGTCAGCCTGCGGACCTTTCCAAGCAACAACCTTTGAAATCAGTAATTATAAGAAAAACCCTGGTACTGTACCATGCAAGACCATAGGGAGTAGAAGGCCTTTCTGATCCAACTACAGATAAATACAGAGAGCATCATGGGTAATATAAGTTCTGAGAGTGGAGTTGGGAACTATGCATAAAAAAAATCACCATGAGGTGCTTTTAGACTTAGATTGGCTTTGTTCATCTCTGGTGAATTTTCAAGTAGAGCTAAGGCAATCTTATTTTCATTATGGGACTATTTCAGTACCTGTCCTTCGTCTTTTGGGAATGGTTAACTGAGGGAAGGATAGTATTTTCCAACTAGCTTGATATTTCAATGTACATTTGATGTTGAGTCCCAAGTCTCATGCACACTTAGGATATTCTCTAATAATTTGTTGTAAGCAATGCATGAGGATAAGAATGCCAGTAATACTACTTGTGGTTTCCTTGTACTGATCTAATATGATCAGCAGTATTGCTTGCTCACATTGACAGTTTTCAAGTCAAGCCTTTTTGAATATTGACTTCAGGAACTAGTAATATTGACTTAGTTGCAGGGTGCAAATGGTGGGAGGGGGGGGGGGGTCACCTGAAGAAGTGTGTTAGCCTGAACAAGATTAGACACTATGTGAGAAGGTACAGGGCATCATGGGCATCCAAAATCTCTTACTCTCTGTTCCATCCTCTTTAGATCACTGAGCTTTTCTTGGAGAATTACAACAATGGCATTGTAGCCCGAAGGTGCTCTTAAGTATTATTCTATTAATGGGCATAATGGCTGAGAATCGGGTAAAGCAGCTTTCACTTTATTAATGACTAGTTTGCCAGATTAAATTAAATTCAGTGTATCCTTGAAAATTTGGACATCTGTATAAGATACAATACCTATAAACAATGAGCCAATTTGGCCCATTGTATTTTCTCCAACATTTTTGTTTCTACAGAGAAAAAATCTGGATTTCCAACCCTTCCTCGACTCGAGTCCATTTCATCCAGCTGTCGACCCCACAAACGCATTCATAAATTTTTACATGCTGTTCATTCAAAACAGGAATTTTCTCAAATA